GCCACAATCAAGAAATTAAAAGTGGGATGTAGTCAATAAATTATGTAGCCATAATTCATTACATGATGTATTGTAATTACGGATTACATGCTTATGGATATAATCCCATTTTGGAGGAAGCTCTCTGCTATACTAATGGGCAGGATTCAAATTGGGTTAAGTCCTGACTTGAGTAGAGTGTGAACCATGGCACACCCTGCGTTTCCCTGGGGTCATCTTTAGACTCTGCTTTCCTAGAGGGTGTGATTTCAGACACCAGCCTTCCCCTTCCTTGGAGGTATGGTCAGCTAAAGACAAAAAGCACACCTCCATCAATGAAATTTTTCTGTAAGTAAGAGCCATCTTGGACAGAAGAAAGCCCAGGACCATTTGAGGACCACATTCCAGATCTCTTTCCGAAGCAGCAGAGGTTGAGACTAGAGATGGCAGAGACTGTGCCACAGAGATTACAGGATAGAGCAAGAGGAGCAGCCCCAAGGCTATGGGACTGTGAGACCAAGTGACAGGCAGAGACCTTGGTTCATGGCGGCAGAGGCCAAGGGACAAAGTGAATGAGAGACGGAAGACTAGAGAGAGACCTAGCTGCTGCCTGAGGAGGGGTGTTGCTGTGGACCTGGGGCTGCATCCTTCTTGCTTAATGATCTTCACTGTTGGTAACTTCCCTAATAACCAGCCCCCATCCCCATTAATTGTGAATATGGTCTGTGAGTTCTGTGTGGCCATTGCAACAAATTATCAAACCCAGCATAGAAGTAGAGTGCCTTGGGAGAAACAGTTGGCATCAGAGTGGGCAAAGAAGGCTGGAGAGTGGAGGCAACTCTGACCCCAGTCTTGTGACAACAAGGAAACCAGAACCCCAGGTCAGATTTGCTATCTCCATGGCGTTTGTTGCAAAAATATGTATTGCATTGGGCAAATTTCCTGCACAAGAACAATTAAAGTATTAGAGAGCAAAGTTATCACTTTGAGGACTTAGGTGCACCTTACTCACATAAAGGTATTTTTGAACAAAAGTGCCTTGGCAATTGAAATAGGGCTTCAAG